GGATTGGAATCGTCCTTTCAGGTAATCGAGAACTGTAGTTCCTCTTAATCTTACATTCCTGCCGTATTCCTTATAGCATTGGTAGTATGCGTCGGTTGCCTTTCCTTCGCAGAATGATCCAATGTATAGTCCAGTTGTAGAGTCTTCCATATCTTTCCCTTACAGGAAAAGATAGTGTGTGAGTTCCGTCGCCCATCGGTCAAAGGCTTCAGGTTTGAGGTCTTTTCCTTCTCCTGTAAACTTCGCTGGGAGGTGGAGTTTGAACTTAGGAGGTTCAAAAGCTGCGGGTACTTCCTCTTCTTCAGGCCTAGCCCAAGATTTTCCTCCTCCAGAGGGCCCTCCTCCTGTGCTAGCCATATCTGATTCACTACTGGATTCAGGGTCGATTGGAGGTTCAAAGGAAGGCTTCTTTGCTGGAGTCGAAGGGAATTCTCCTGGAAGTTGTGTATCTTCCGTGTTTGCAGGATCGCCCAGCTCTTTAGCAGAGCACCAGGGTTGTTTCTTTCTTGTAAGGTCTTGCCGTGGGATTTGCTTCCCACTCCTGGTCGTCAAAGACTCTATCTTGGGTTTGAGATGAAGCCGAATGTGCTGTGATTCTGCTGCTTCTCTCCGCTAGCGTTCTAAGGTGGATATCGATAGGTTGATCAGGCCTAAATCCGGGGACAGGTTCTTAACCACTTGCTGAGGTTAGAAAAATGTAACGTGTTCGCAGGGTGCTAATCATGTTATCGGTAAGAGATACAATAGTTGGCAGGTGGCCTACTCTTCCAGAGAGGAGACGAGAGCTGAGAACTAAAGCAGGCTTCGAGGGTGTACTGGGGAACAAAAAAGTAACGGTTCAACCAAGTATATTGAAATACTGTCTGTCAAAGTCTGCCTTTTCTATCGTAGAAACAGGCGGTCTTTAAATACACAATCTGTTCATGTCTAGCATGAACGAAACTAATCAAAGGTATCAATTGATAAACTTTGGTAAAACTCCTTAAGTATCAAAGCGATACTTAAAACAAAACATAAAACAAAACCAAGTATCAAGCGATACTTAAAATAAAATATAAAACAAAACCAATAACCGAGTACCCGTACCGGTTACATCTTCGCAGATGCAACATGCAGATGAAACTGATCATTTTATCAATATTGGAGACAATTGGGAGCCAACTCAGTTCGACTTGAGAACTAGGCCACAAGTCTAAAGACTCTAATGATTACATAACTACTATTGGGAACACTATGGGTTATAGTTAGTTATATCATAATTGTCGAAGAAAGTCTGGTGATTTTCAGGGTTTTCAGGTATCCGCAAGGGTTAAGAATACTCAACTTTGACAGTTATAGCCAAACGGGTACATTGTAGTATAATAAATAGATGTAGTCTGTGAATACTCAGATGCAGAATATAAATATTGCAGTGCCCTCTAAGCTTTAAACATCATCCAGCAATAGAGAAGAGACCTTAAAAATATAATATTATTTTTACAATTCTATCTTACTTTACTAAATCTACTTTACTCTTAGTAGTCATAAATAAAACAAGTAAATTCGAGCCTTCCTAGATAATCTCCATCTACAGAAATGAATCTTTGTTGGCTCAGATAATTCTGAAGTCTATTAGATTGTCTCCGCTAAACAATTACAGTAATAAATTCACAAGTACCCTCTGCTTTCTTGTAAGTATAAATTGTAACATATTATATATATAAGAAGTGAAAAACTAACTTTGTACACAATACTTTAGCTCCTCATTCTCTCGTAGGTTATAGATTACCTCCAAAACTCATCCAGATTGACCAAGGCCCAGTAGAAATTGAATTTTATCAATGTTGTATATATATTGAGATTTTATTTCATATTCTTAAATAATTATTTTTAACTAAACAATATTAACATTTATAATCATTTAAAATTAAAAACTAACAAATATAAATAAGGATTTAAAAATGGAAAATACCTAATTGAAATAAAAAAAAATTAATAATAATAGTAAAGTAGAACTTAAAAAGAAGGTATAAACAATGCCTTATTAATGAAATAATTTATTAATTCAAGGTCATTTCCATAGATGTTTTGAATAAAATTCAATTGATTACTAAACTTTGTTTTAACTTCTGGATACTTCTTCTTAAAACCTTTCTCCCATCTCTTACCTATCATCACCTGAGGATTTCTCTTTTGTACAATTGTAGTAGTAATCTCAAGCAGTTGCTGTATTATTGATGGAAATCCAAGACAGCAGTGAGAGTAGTAGTGTCACAAACGTGGCTTAGCATGAAAAAGGTTTTCACATGACACATGGTTATGAGTCACAGGTATGTTATTGTTTTGCGCATATGACCTATTCGGGTTATATGATTTGTTGTGTGTGGGATTTGTGATGCTTTTGCACATGGCTCGAGTATGAGTCATGGGACGTGTACCTGACGAGTATGTCTTGCGAGTGTGCCTTGCAAGTAAGCCTTGCGCATATGATTTATGTTTCGTGTATATGACTCAGTCGAGTCATATGACTTGGTTATTGCGTTATGATTGGTTTATGAGTTTTGTACATGACCTCGCTATGAGGTCATGGGTTTTGAGCATGTGATCACTTTGATCACATGACTAGTTTGTTATGATTTGGTTTCGCACATGTGACCACTTTAGGTCATATGACTATGGGCGGGAAGAATACTATATAAGGAGGCCAATGCGGTCGAGGAAGATAGGTTCTTCACGCTTTGTTCTAAGTACTTTTCCTCCTTATTACTTTAACAAATATAAAACATCTTTACAATCTTTATCTTTATTGCAACATTATTGTTACGCCGAGAAAAGTCCTTCATGAAGACAAGTTGGAGAAAGCTTACAATAGGCGTTCCCGATAGAAGACAAAGGTCTTATACTATCGGTAACGTAGGCAGAGGCTTAGAGCTATCGTAAGACAGAGAAAGAAGAAGATAGAAAGAGAAGTATCGTTCCCCGTCGCCAAGAACTAACTATCCAGAGAGGGATCGTGACAAGTAGCAATCAATTACTGCTCTTTCTGTTAGGCAGAGGCAATCTCATAGACTTCAGAGTTGTCTAGGCCAACCAAGATTTATTTCTGTAGATAGAGATTGTCTCAGAAGCCTCAGATTTCACTCATTTCATTTCTGACTACTAAGAGTGAAGTAAAGTAGGTAAGTAGAATAGAATTGTGAAGACAATATTGTATTGTTAGGTCTCTTCTCCATTGCTTGATACTGTTTAAAGCTTAGGAGGCGCTTCAATATTTATATTTCACGTTTGAGTATTTGCAGACTATATTTATCTATTATACAACTGTGTATTTCTCTGAATATAACTCGCAACCTCAAGTATTCTTCAAGGGTACAAACACTAGGAGACCATGAAAATTACCACACTGTTTTTTGGTAATTACGATATAACTAACTAGGAACCATGCTTTTCCCAATACTAATTATTCGATTATCAGAGTCTTTAGACTTATGGTCTAGTTCTTAAGTTGAACTGAGTTGGTTCCAATTGTCTCCGTCATTAATGAAATGAGCATTTTCATCTGGGAGTTGTATTTGCCGAGATAGTTGTATTTGTAACCTTCCTGGATCACGTTACTTCAAACCTCCATAACTCCATATCCTACCAACAGACATCTTCCAGAAACCCTCCTACTAATTCGCAGGAAGCTATTCTACTGGACTGACAGATAATCCCTCTGTCAGCAATACTTGGTTGCTCTGGATGACTCTGTGAAGTCGTGTATGCAACCTTCTTTAGTTGTGGACTTTGAAGCTCAATATCTCCTGATCTAACCTATAGATTCTTATCCAGTAACTTTCCTTGTGTAGCGCAAAAGCTCTTCTATACGATAAAATCATAACCCTTCTATTAAGAGTCCTCAGTTATTGTGCAGGGAGCCTTGCAGTTGCAAGTAGCATTGGTAGAAAATCACTCAATACCAGAAATAACTTTTATGACAACAGGAGTTGAACATGTGACCTTTGGTGAAGAGTCATGTGATATTCCTATTGAGCTATCTAACTGAGATTGATATGTGTAATAATGTATGGGCCCAGTAAGAGTCTGGAGAGGGGTGTTGGAGACCAGAGATTCCAATTCCGAGAGGGGTTACCCTACTTAGGGTGGTTCCTAGGTATCGAATCCTGGTATTCCTAACACTTTCTTCCTCAGGATTAAGCCTTTGTCTTTGGTGGCTCTCTTCCTATCAGTTCTTTTGACCTTATCGTCAATGCATTACCATGCTTGAAGCTGACCCAACCATTTTTGCTACAACTATGTGGCTTGGTGCTGTTCCATTGGCTGCCATCTCTATGGCCATTTGTTCTCGTATGTGATCCGGAATTGTGCAGTCTTTCAGAGGCGTAATTGGGACTCCCAATACAAAAAAAACCAAATGATGGGGTTGATCGTATCAGTTTCACTGGGATTCAATGATGAAATCCAACTTGCTAATTATTCCGGGATGCCAAGTTTTGCCGCGCCTCGCTGAGGGTGCGTATGGTAGTGGTATCATATCACCGAGCTTGTCAAGTACGGTATGATACCATTACTGTATTCTACCGTACCAACGTTGAACAGAATCGATATCGCCCATCATATTCCGCGCGAGACCGGTATCATACAGAACGTACAAGTACAGTACTCGTTCTATCAATAGGGAGCGCGTATTCGTGAGTATTATGATATACCAACCCAACCATGAAGCAAGCGCCATCACTCAAAAGACCGGTCGCTCGCCTGGCCTGTTCCACTTTTCTCGCTAGACCGGTTATTAAATTATAGTTCCCGCGCGGCCTCCCAGCGCTCCGGTCCACTTCCGGATTCCCCAACCGCTAGACTGCTCGAGTACGGTGTGTGGCTGACTAGCATCGACCAACCGACCGACCGACCGACCTGCCAACCGACCTGCATGTAAGCCTGCCTCGCTAACCTAACCCACCAACCCACCTAAGCACACAAACTCGTGCCATCATCACACCCACAAGAGCTTTGTGCCGCCATAGCATAGCCTACCCTACCACAGGCGCGTACCACAACTCTGAGCCGAGAAGGGAAAACAACAGTAATTGGGGCCCCTGGGCGGTAAGGGTATTCTGTGCTGGCTTCAGCAAGTCCTCCTACCGCATGGTGAGAGGAGAGAAAAGAGGCTTTTGGCAATGGTGCTACACAAGAATAGTGGGTTTTTTTCTTTTTTTCTTTTTTTCTTCTTTTTTTCTTCTTTTTTTCTTTAGCTTCGCTTGTTCGCTGCACGTGGGAGTGATGGGAGGGGCTAATGAGTTGATGATTAGAATGGGATCGGAAAGCTACGAAAGCGCATGAGCGGAAACTAAAAGCTGCTGGGAAGGTCGTTGATGGGGCGGCGGCAGGGCCCGTGAAAGCTACGGAGAAGGGGGTTAAGGATGGAGGACCCGTGCTGGGCGCACCACTAGCCGGTAGTGATGTGAGGGGAAAGGAGAAGGAGGGGGAGCCGGTGGTGGGGAGCCGAAGTGATAGCGAAGCCGATGAGCAATCTGGTTCAGATGAAGGAGACTCGGCAGCCTTCCGGAAACGCACCCTACAAAACAACGCTTGGCGATACTTGGAAGAGGAGGAAGTCCCCGGCGCGGAGCCAGGTGTTTAACCTTCCCACCTCTCGAAAACAAGCAAGTAAATAGCTAACGTCCTATCGTACGAGTACAGTCATCGAGGACCCAGAACCTGACTACGCAAGATTAACAATTGGCAAAGAAGTTGACTTCTCACACCCCTCCTCCTCCGTCGCTGCCAAAAATAATGTGCCGCTGCCAATCGAAGACATAGATGAGGAATTCCTGAGGGAGAGCTTCCAGGCTTCCTGCACTTTCACCTCCAATTCTGTGCCGTCCAGCTCCCGCGCTCGACAGGACAGGGACAAGGACGGGGGTGATAGAACGGGGAGAGTTGTTCGGGTTCCTAAAAGTCAATTCGTTGATGTTACCGAAAAGATATCGAAGCAGACGGCGGCGGAGGCGTTCCGGCAGAGGTTTGGAACTAAGAAGGCGAAGCCTCGCCCGGAGCTAGAGGCCGAGGAGGGGGAAGATGATTTGGATTCGTTCTTTGAAGAATTGGATCGTGCTCGTGATGGAGGTGAGAGCCATATTCTCTCCCCTGTTTTTCTTCCTGCCCCTTGGGGGAGAGATTTGAAGGAGATTATTGGTTGGTGTGGGGGACGGGGGTTTATTGAGGGTTTGTCTAAAAATAAGGAGTGGGGGTTGATTGGAGGAGGATATAAATTGGGGAGTGTGATATGATCAAGAAGCGGGAATGAATGAAAGAAGGGGAATCTGTGGCTGACTTGTGCTATTCCTCAGCGCATGGTTCCAAAACCGTCACTGCTACAAGTGATACCTTCACTGCCACATCCTCATCCTCGTCCACTCCCAGGATCGCCAGCGCTGGCAGGGGAGTGCCGGTGCCTGAAGAACAGGCGGCGGGGTCGCGGGAGATAAGCGGTGGTCTTGGCAGGAGTTCAGGACATCCAAATAAGGATGACAAGGATGATGAATGGTTGGATGCGATGCTTGGCGAGAAGTAGGCAGGACAAGAATGGGGGGATTCTTTCTCGTACCGGTACTCGAGTACCGTACCGTACTGTACCGGTTACCTGTGCCTTAGAATAGGGATATTTACTTCCTTTCTTCTCCTCTACCGGTAGTCCATGTGGCCAGGGGAGTGGTTTTTTTTTTTTTTTTGCTTCGTCACCGTTCATCGTGGTACAGGTACTGAAATTTTATGTTGGGACTTGTATCGTGTTGCAAGTTCCTGTCCTGGTTGATTGTTGCAGCACAACACAGTACTAGTACTGTACACAATGTGGGCTGTGCAAAGCTTCATAATAATAACAACGAGGGTAAAGGCGGCGACGACGACAGATACTCGAGTAGGTACCGGTAGATAGATGGACATTGGAAGACTGCGATACGATCCGAGTGCCTGCAAAGCAAAGCACTGTAATGCCCTATCGACGAGGCACGCCCCATCCGGCCATCCGGCCATCCTTGGTGCAAGCAAGCACAGTGCACCCACTGAGTACTGTACACTACAACCACTGTACAGCACGGTAAGGCACCGCACAGTGAAACCATAATAAGCAAGACAGTGAATGTATCATACCAGACCAGGAGTTGGAGCATTATGTACCACCATCTCGGCTTCTTTATACTGAGAAAAAAAAGTCAACTATACTTGTACAATGCGAAATGGAAATAAATGGGAACAAGAAGGGGATAAGGAGTAATGCCGTACAACACCTCCCCTTCCCCCCTTACCCCTTCCCCCTTTCTCGCCTACCGGTAACTTACTGTACAGTGCACTACCACACGGTGATCGTTACCGATATGATACCGATACCATGGTCCGTCCATGATATCGTGAGTAACGAGTTACTTGTATGATGCTCTCTTTTTGCCCATCGACTCCCAAAGCGGCCGAGCAATCATACCCAAAGCGGTGCATGCACGCACTCCAGTTTCCATAAACGTTCCGCGGCATAAGTGTGGACTTATCACGTCCACTTTCGTGCTCTTGCAAGGAAGGGAAGGAGCTGTTGATATCTGCTGGTTCGTTCACTTGCGTGCATACATCTACATACAGTATCACTTCGCATTCGGCTTGAGCACGGTACCGGTATTTTTGTGAGCCGTTGCTGCCAGTGTTTGCTGTTGGCTCCTTTTTTTTTTTTTCTTCTTCTTTCTTTCTTTTTTCTTCTTGTTTTTTCTTTATTTCTTTCCCTTTTGAGGGGGAGGGAGGGAGTGGGGCGGTCTGCTGTTTATTCGTTGTAACTTATAGGTGGATCTTTTGCAATACTGTGTAAGTAGACTAGGGAGGCACGAACGAATGAAGCAGGTGGATATATGATAGACACTGGGCGCGGTGGGATACAAGCGGTTAGGGTGGGGGAGGGAAGGGCTAAGGTTAAGGGAAAGGGAGAGAAATGGTGAGAAGAGAGGAAAGGAGAGGGAAGGAAGAAACAATAATTATTATCATAATTACTGTGCTGCACTCGAGTACAGTTTGGGAAGAGGAATTGGTTGGGGGAAGGGGGGAGGGGGTGGGGAGCGGTGGGAAAGGTTTCTCCTTTCTTCTTCTTCTACCGGTATTTTGATTCGTTTCCCACCCCTTCGTGACCCACGGTACTACTCCCTCTCACCACCACGGCAAAAGTGATAGTATAATATTCAACTTGGGTATTGTATGTGGGATACGTATGTATGTGTATGTATGTATGTATGTATGTAGTCTATGTAAAGTGGGTAGGCAGGTATGTATTATTATTATGCGAGTATGAATACGGTTATTATGTATGGTCGAGAGGAGGAAGCGTTTCATAGGCGCCCGCAAGTCTGTGGTTGAGGGAAAGGTGAAACCGTTGACCCCGTATTTAAGGGGTGAGAAGGGGGGATATACAAGTAGCGAAGGAAAAGCGACGAGTTTGAAACGCCAGCAGCTACAGAACGGACAGCGAGTAGGTGCAGCCAGTGGACCATCTGTGATCTATCCATCTATGATACTCGTACCTTATCCATCCTTCCATTCACTTGTCCTCTGGGCTATTGTAGAGTTCAGTATTCTTCCGCGTATTTTCTGGAACTATCCAATCTATTAGGAAGGGGTGAGGGAGGAGAAATAGAAGCGGAAACAGAAACAGAAACAGACCCCTGTTTTTTTCACTTCTTCCTTTTTCTTCTTGTTTTCTGCTGGCCGTGTGGGATTGAACCGATTGAGGTACCGTAGTCTATACTGACCCTATAACTCTCGTACTCGTACTCGAGCACCGGTATCGTACCTGTACCTATCTGAGAGAACGCTTTTTCTGTAGTTATCGCCTTTTCCGGACGAGTGCGCTATTTTGCAAGGTAAGGTGGAGAGAAGTACCAAATTTTAATTTTAATTTTTTTTGTTCTTCCTATGATACTTTATTGTATCCTTACCTAGCTCTCTACTTTTGCTATGCTCCGTGCGAGCCCTGTATCTATCGTCTGGTTGGTTTTGGTCTATGTCATACCTTATACCTCCTTCTACCCATTCTGCTGTGACAAAAAAAAAAAAAAATTTCTTCTGGACCTCCTAGCAATCTTGGCAGGAGCGGATTCAAGGCTTTTCTAAACCTTTTCTGTAACTGCCTCGCCCCCTTCGTCCTTCGCCTACATATTCCCTACAAATTTTTTTTTTTTCCCCTTCCTTTACTCGTACCCAAATCCCCCCTGTCAATTCCTTATCCCTTTTTCTCGAAAAATTTCGCATCATTCTTCTTCTCCTTCTTCTTCTTCGTCCTAGCTGTTTTTTGATCTTTATTTTCATAAATTTTGTTTTAACCTTCTCAATTTATTCATCTATTTTTTCCCTTTTCTCTCATCCATTCAAACCCAATTATTGCCCTCCTCTTCCCTCCCCTCTTGGCCCTATCCCAGCCTGTCCAGTCCACATCCCCCCCCCTCCTGAACCACTTTCCTCTTCCTGTTCTCCGCCTAGCTCGCTTTACCCTCCCTCACCTTCCGCCTCACCACCCCTCCCTTACCCCCTCCGCGTTATTTCCATCTTCAGGTCCGCTCCTCCACCCCCTCCTCTTCCCACCGCTGCTCCTCCTTCTTCTTCTCGGCCCCACCCCTTCATTTCCCTCTTTCTTCCTGCCCGCGCTTCTCTCTCTCTCTCTCTTTCTCTCTTCACCGAGTCCCTTCGCCGTGGATTTTGTCTGTTACTGTTGCTTCCTTTCGCTGCGGACTGTCTGTCGTTTATCCTGCTGATCATTTACTCCGGCCTTGAACTAATTATCTATTTAATTCCTACTCCCTCGTTATGACTACAGAAGCGATATCTGCTCCTCCTCCCACCCTACCACATTCCGACTTGGACAGGCCTGAGAGGTTGCCTCCCATGGCCGCTGCTATTGCTTCTACTGCGACGACGACGACAATAGCTTCCACGACAGCAACGTCGACAACTGGCAGACATGGCAAATCATCCAGCGCCAGCCCAGGAAAGAACTCGACCGCATCAAAGAAGGCAGCAACAGCTGCCCCGGATGGATCTCAGCGCTCTCCAGACCTGTAATTATCACTTTTTTCTTTTCCCCTCCCTCTTCCATCACACCAATTTCTTACTTTCCCATCCCCTCCCTTTGTTTCGTTTCGCTTCGAGTCTCAAGTTTTGTTGGCGAAGAGGTGAGATTGACATGTGCATGGGGGGAACGCCTAGGAAGCGCAACGAACTACCAAAGATCTTTGTAAAGAAAGAACCCGCCTCTCCTGACCCCCCGTCCCGTCACCGGCCGCCCAGACTACATCTATCCAATGGCCCTACACCACCTTCCGGCCCCAATGCCGCTGCTACACCACGAACTGCCAATGGCCACTTGGCTACAATGCAGGATGTCGGTATGGCATGTCTGTCCCCCGGCTTCGCAACGCATGACCCTGCTATGCGCGACCAACTCCAACGTAGTATATCTGTGCGCGAGCAACAGCGGTCGATAATTGAATCGCGGCTACAACGCCACGTGAAGGGCGGCGAGAGAACCGGAGGCGCTGAGCCGAACTCTAGAACTGACCGTGATGAGCCACCATCGGCCCGCGGGGGGGACAGGTCATCGGCACATACTCCTCGCAGGAGACCTCCGAGCAGTCTCACCATTGTCCCACCACCTCACCGTGCGTTTGCAAACGAGCGCGTAGTTCAGTCCGCACCACTGCATCAGTCATTCACGGGCCGAAACCATCCCCCTCCATCATCACACCATGGCCCTCCACCCACCACTCACCATCATCAACAGCAGGTTAACCGATTACCCCCAATCAGTGATGTATTTGGTCTCGATGGTCCGGAATCCTCCAGGAGTGTGAGGCATCCGGACGACGGTACCAGTAGACAGTACTTCCCCGCGACCAGGCCATCCTATCCATCCCCAAACAGTATGGCCTATTCCCGCCCTCGAGAGCACCGATCCGCTGAAGAAGCGATGGCGAATATATCGGGTGGCCGCGAGGACTTATTACCCCGGATAATCCATTACGGGGGCCATCAGCCCCCCACACCACCGAGTCCCCCGCAACCCCAGCATACCCCGTCGAAATTGGGCGTGCACGGAATGCACGAACAGCAGCCCCACTCAGCGAAGAGGCGGAGGACGAGGGCGGAATATGAGCGCGACGAGAGCATGGGGAGTGATCATGGGGATCGGGAGCAGGAGTCTAAGAGACGAAAGAAGGAGGAGTTTTTGTCGTTATGTGCGAGGGCGTGGGAGTTGTTCCATTCGTGAAGGTTGAAATGGGTGATTAAATTTTTATAAGGTTACTTTTTGTCTCACTTTTCTACTCTATGACGCTCTAACTTTTGTTTATTTTGATTCTTTTTATTTTCAAGCCAGGTGCTATTGGGATCTTTTTTTTCTTCACTCTTACTTTTTTTTATTTTACCTTTTTTTGCTCGCTCTGTTTGAAGAAGAAAAATCCCAGCGAAGAATCATGAGGACGTTTGGAAGTTAGTTAGTCTCTGATACCTTTTTCTTTCTTTCTCTTCTATCCCCCTCCTTTTTTTTTTTCTTCCGTCCCCCTTCGTCTGCCTCGCTGCGTTCTTTATTTCCTCTTACTTTACTTAACTTACACTTCTTGTATCTCATTGGGTCTCACGCTTATTTCGAGGGCAAAATTATTTCCTATCCTTTCCTATCCTCCTCCTTTCTCTTTTCTTTTGTGGTTTCGGGGGGATTTTCCGCCTTTTTTTTCTTTCTTTTTTTTCTTTTTCCATTTCATGTTATTGGGTACGGTAGGGTTCGGTCGGCTTGGATTTGGAATTGGCTGGTAGGGAATGGATTGGTTGGTTGGTTTTGCCGGTTGGGGACGGTAGGGAGATTTCATTTTTAGCTCTTTGAGTCAACTTAGTTGGGTTCTTGTCGTGCCATGTCGTGTTTATTATATTCCACTCCTAACTTTTCCTTTCCTTTCCTTTTTTTTCTCTTTCCATTTACAATTTTCTTCTTCGACTTTTGACTTTTTATCTTGCGGTTTTCTTTTTCGACCCCCCCTTGTGCCGTGAGGGGGGGAAAGGTGATATATATATAACAAGACTATAATGAGTGGGAATTGGATTGGATTGACCTTATTTGATCGATCTGCATTCGGATCATATGCATGTTCTCTGTTTTTTTTTTTTTTTTCCTCTTCCGTTCCCTCCCTTTGCCGGGGTGGTGAATCCCCTCCGCCACGTTTTCGCTTCCCCCTCCCTCCACCTTTATCCCACATTTCACTTTCCGGGTTTTCCGATAATAATATCTTCTTTTCCTTGTCCAGGAAAGGTAAGTTCACTGCAGTCACTGTATATCACTCGATACAATTCTCCAGACCGAGAGGGAGAGAGAGAGTTTGGAAGGAGTGTAGCATAGCCCCGACAATCCATGGTTCCGCGATGACGCGTGGTGATGCCATATCGCGTCTCGGGGGATTTTAATAATAGGAGGCTCTATTCACGAGCGCGTACTCGGAACCTGGTTTGTTGTCGTACGTACCGGTAGTCACCGACCAGACCAACTATGATAGAACCCGTCGGCCGGTGAGGATTCAAATTCAATAATATACCAGGCTGTGGTATTGCCCGCCACAGGAGCCGAAACAATGAGCATTACATTACCTTACCTGCCCATTGAGAATCCGTCCGAAATCGGCCCCCCGACCAGCCGCACGTATACCTGACAACTCACGAAGGCACGAATCGAAGCCGTCCCCTTCCCAGGCGAAAAAATGCTGTTTCATATTTCCTTCCTTTCAGTCTACCCATCCAAGGGTTTTTTTTTCTTTTCCCTCTTCCAAGTGAACTTGTAGCCTCGGTCTGGGGAAGTACTGTACTAGTATGGGCGCTGTGTGTTGTACTGTTGTTTCTTTTCTTTTCTCCTTTCTGTTTTAGATATCATAGATTGGTTTGTATATTATATATAATAATAATATATATAACAGTTGCCTTGGCTTTATCCGTCTGCCAAGGCATTGTCTTGGCGGTTGGGCGTTCTGTATCATATTTTCATACTCGAGTTGAGCTTTAACTTATAGACTATCGCGCGGTTGTGGGCTGCTCCGTCTGATGTCTCGAGCGATAATAATATGATATAGGATCGCTCTATCTGGTTTACGGTAGTCGGCTAATTGTGTATCATATCATATTATCATACTTTATTTTGGCGGTCCTGCTTTTTTTGCCTTACCCGTTCATCCCATCCCATACCTAAGTTATCATACCTATTATACCACTCCGAATTTTACTGCAGCTATCGGAAGTTATCCCTCCCATACGGTATCTAACTAAGAGTACCATGTAGACTACCGATGAGATCCGTTTACGCCAGAAGCCTGGATAAGTGAATAAAATAAATAAAATAAAATAAATAAATGATCGAGGGGGGGAGATGTGGTGTGTGAGTGGTGGTTATAATGATAAAAATCAATTTTCGCGCAGGGAGTTGCGTTTGCATATGGAATACACTCCTCCTCCCATAATAAAAAGGTAAATATATACTTGCGCAGCAGGGAGGGGATGTTCAGTGCTTGGATATTGTCGCTGTTGGATGGGAGATTTGTGGTATGATACCGGTAGGTGACTTGGTTCTATATATCCATATCTATCCGAATAGGCGTTGTGGCGGTGTAGTGGTATGATAGTATATCGTAGTTACCGTATCCAATTTCCTTGTTTTTTTTACTTTTTTTTTGAGCGGTAGGAGTATATATATAGATACCTCCCTCCTTCTTCTTCGTGAAAAGGGGTATATTCGGTGTGGGAAGGAAGGGAGGGATGTGCTATTTGTTGAAGATGTGGGGTGCGTTGGGTGCGGTTGTCGTATGATACTGCGAGTATTGAGGTATATCATAGCCATGGGTTCGAGTGTGGATATTTGGGCTTCTTCTCCTTTTCTTCTTGGAATCAGATATAAAACGGACCAACCCGCCCCATCGTGGATGGCACTGCACACCCTTGAGGAAAACAGAGCTGTGAGGGATCATAAACGGCGAGAATCTGGGAATTCATATGATCATTACAAGTATCAATATTATCATCAGTATATAACATTTTTCATATTTCCCCCACCCCCAATTATAAACCCGCAAACAGGTCGTCTATCTCATCCCTCTTCTTTCGCTTCTTTTTCTTCCTCCCGGGTTTCGTTGGGTCGTCCCTCTTGCTCCTCTTGAGCCTTGGCCCCGGAGATATTGATCGCGATGGCGGCGCGGAGGGTACGAACTGTAGCTGTGCTGGCAATGACAGGCTCTCCAGCGGAGGCGACGACAAGCCTTCAACAACCCCTTTCCTTTTCTTCTTCCCTAACAGCTTCTCCGCTTTTGCCACGAGTGTAGTGGTCCTCTCGGGCTCCGTAGTGCTGAGCGTGATGGCCTCTTCTGGTTTCGTCGTAGTAGTGCCTTCCTTGATCGCTGGGGGAACAGCATCGTCACCCCGTACCACTGTCTCTGCCTTGACCTCTTTGGTCGCTTCCCCCGCATCGGCTTCTACACTGTTGCGCATCACTGCCTCCCCAAAGTCCTCCAAGCTCACCGCATATTCATCCCACCTCTTCTCCACCTCCACCTCCCTCCCCACCTCCTTCCCCACCGCCGCCCTCTCCTTCACTGCTTTCTCCGGCTCCCCCCCAACAAATCTATTTACCCCTGCCAAAACCCCCATGAGCACGAGTCCCAACGACACATACCGCTTATTCGCGATAACTGTCGAAAACGCACTGAAGCACATCATTCATCCCCATTAGCCCTTCCCCTTACCTCCCCGCAGAAGAATGACATGACTTACGTATAACACCTCGGCACAACAACCCTCCTCATAAACCTCTTCCGTGCCTCGAGTTGGTCTCCAGCAACCAACTTCTTGAGATTCCTCCGGAGTATCGAGAACCATTTATACCATTTCGAAGAGCGGTGTTGGTTCTTGTTGCGGGTGTGAAGGGTGTTTAGCAGTGCAAGGTCGGTTTTGATGTCGAATGGTGGGGGCGCCGGCGCCGGCGCTGGCGAGGTGGTGGACATATTTGTTGGTCGGAAGGAGAGAAAAAACGGATCGATCGTCAAGTAAGTTGCCAAGACTTTATAAAACTAGTCCTATTTGGAATGCTTGGTTGTGCTTTTTTTGTATCTTTTTTTTTTTTAAGTCTGCGGAGGTTCGGTCCTCACCATACCGGTGCTCGCGACGAAAATTGAAAGGTGACGAACAAGGATCCTAATTGATAATTTCCCTTTTTTCCCGCCGAATACCAGTTTCGTCGTGGGTATGATTAGGACTGTAGAATGGCAGACGGGAGGAGGGGTGAGGGACATTATGGGGCTGGTGTTGGATTCCTGGTTCAGAACTTGGTGCGCTGGATTATTCCGCTTATATTTTTGACGGACTGCGGAGGAGGTGGGGCTTGATATATCGGTGCTAACTTGGAATCCTTGATACAAGTATCATACCCTACCAGTACTGGTGCAGCAGATTCCCTCGAAAACAGTTTCAACAGAATTGCTTTTCTAGATATCAGAAGTATCATATGTAGTTTAATACCCTCACTTTCTCTTCCCCTCCCGTTAAGCTCTCGCCTCTCTTCAACAAAAATTTTTTTACAAACACAAAAAACCCATTCTTTCCTGGAAACCCTCGCGAAAACAAACTTCAATTGTGTGAAAGGCCTCAAGTATTCCGGATGTTAAACAGTTGTCACAATGGAAGGATGGCCGAGTGGTTATGGCGTGTGACTCAAGCTTGCTGCTTCTTCACTTAAAGTGGGGTTTCTCATGGGCTTTGCCCGCGGGGGTTCGAATCCCCCTCCTTTCAACTCTTTTTTTGCCACTTTTTATTGCTTCCACCTTGTTTCCCCCCTTTGGAGGGTGCGGTAAGGGTCCTTTACGAGTAGTGTGTTGGAGTATTATTTTTTTTAACAAGTTCCTGACGTCATCACCACGGCTTATGAACGAGCAGACTTGTCCAAGTCACAACCGACTCAGTTGGCTGTTGGGCCGTTTACACCATCAAGCATGGCAGTCTCATATCTCAGGAATCAGCGCAGTGGTGATGATAATGGCGAGTTCAGCTCGGGGGGGGTGGGGGGTATGGTAGGTGCGTGGTGTATTCACAAGGTATCACTCGGTAGACCTGTTTACTACAAATAATGTGAATGGAGAAGGTAACTAGGAGGCAAAAGCGTACGGGCACAAGTTGCAGGAGTGACTTTCTCGACCCCCTTCCTCCCTCCTTTTGCCTTCCTGGGGGGGTAAGTAGGTCCTTAACTAAATACGTAAAGTCCCACACCACGATATGCTCCGCTCGTTTGAAGGAAACTTGTTTCAGACCGGACGAAAATGAATATATCCGACATTCAATACTTTTCAATATTCGGGGGTAGATTCCGGAGAGGTGGGAGATGTGGGTTTTTTTCTTCTTCTTATCTTGGTATCATACTCTCTCACTCTGGGTACTGTGCCCCCGGCCGGCCAGTCCTGGGTTATCCTGGCCGCAAGAACCCCCCAGTGCGTGCGCGCGCCAGGCTCTGGAGTGGGGAACAGGATCGCATTCTAAAAAAACATCACTCGGCCTGTACAGTGAGTATATAGTAAGTTTACATGGTGGGCCTAGAGCTTACGGCAAAACTCCTCCGACATCAATAAATGGATTATGTATCTAATTCCCTAGGATAGTTAGTTTCCTTCCCAACCGGCTGAAGCGCTAACAACTGATTTCATATCATACTCGGGGGGGAATTCGTGCAAAGGAAATATATATCATAATACGAGTACGGTATCATACTCAGACCTCGAAATACGCGGTAAGTACCTTTAAACCACAAAAAATGTATGTACTGTACTGTACACTCTCCTGCGCCTCCGAATTATATTGAGTATCATAAAAAAACCATTATCATATATCATACACACTCTTCCATCCCAGAAACACCGCCATCATCCAGGGGGGGGGGGGGTAAAACGAATAATACTAATAATCATAACTGTACTAGACATTCGCTCCCTCCCCACTGCGGAATGAAATAGGTAATGTGCCACGAAAATGAAATAGTCTTTTCGTTAGCGGGGTGGTGGATAGGTTGTGCTACCGTACGATGGAAGGGGGCCGTTTTCAGAGACTCGAGTCTGCCCGGGTAATAAGGGATTTCAAGGAGCTGTAGGAATAGGGGCTGAAGATTGGTATTCTGACTGGTGGTGTTTTATGCTATGGCGCGGTAAGATCTGAGGAGTGATTTGGGGGGACTTGGAGATGGATGGGACTAGCTAGTGCTGTGTCCGAGATATTTTATTTATAGTTGAGGCTAGTCACGAAGGTGTTGAATAAACTTTCGCTTCATTTTTTGAGTAGAAATAAATGAATGGGTTTGTTTGAGTTATTCCAGAGTTTGAACAAAGCTCAAGAGCAAGCCCCCCGCTGAGTAGCATCTGTTATAGAAGTAGTGGGATGGCACCATTGAGGAGGCTTGGAGCCCTTTTATCTGGAGTCTCGTATGATAGATACTGTGCATAGGGTCAGTCAACGCTGATTCAACAGCAACGCGGCGCCCCCACTAAGGATCATATTATCACACGGAGAACGGGCTTGATTGCCCTGTCAGGCCTATCACGACGTATAGAACACCGTGCTGGCAGGGTTGAAGGGCAAATAAAAAGGGTTGGTGAAAAACCATGGGCCCGATTCCGGGATCGAACCGGAGACCTGTCACATGCCAAGAATAGTTCATTGGGGGAACTCCCGAAGCGACAATCATACCACTAGACCAACCGGGCCACTTAAGAAAATTGGTAAAAACAAACATTCACCAGGCTATCCCCCAGTTTTCTTCACAACCCTCATTTTTTTCGCCCAATCCAACCCACCCAAACTTCATCACCACCATCCATCACCACCACAACAGTAACCACAACCATGTCCTCAAACGTCGGCCTCTCCACTCCCCGCGGCAGCGGCACAAGTGGATACGTCCAGCGCAACCTCTCGCACCTAAGACCCCGCGACTACCCTCCTCCCTCCTCCTCCTCCGCCATCGCCTCTAACACCCGTGAATACCGCCAACGCCAACCAGACAAAGAAATCCTCGAACACGATCGCAAGCGTGGCGTCGAAGTCAAATGCTTAGAATTCCGGGATAAGCTTGAGGACGAAGGGGTCGACGAGGACGATATTGACGAGCGGGTGGAGACGTACCGGAAGAAGTTGTTGGGGGAGTTGGAGAGGGAGGGGGAGGGCTGGGATGTGGCTGTGGGAGGGGGGAAGAAGGGAGGGTTTAAGCCGCACCAGGTTCATGAGATCGCGGTGGCGAAGGCTGGTGGGTTCCTTTCTTCCTTTTCCTACGGGGAGGTGGCTAATGTCTGAGGGGGGATAGCCGAGAGTGAGAGATTGCGCAATGCGTTGGGAATTTCGAAGGATTATCAGGAGGTTTGTAGCATACACTTCTTGATGCCGCGTTACATCCTCTGGAATGGAGGTATTTGTTGCTGACGCGCTATTTTTTTTTCCTCGGTGGTGTTGTAGGGGAGCCATTGGAAGAAACAGGAGGACGAACGACAGAAGCGCTTGGGGGATAGAGAGAAGGAGGTTGCGGCAAGTAGGAGGAGGAGCGCTTCTCCGGCTTAGGTCCCTTTCCTATTTCTCTCTTTTTTTTTTGCGCTCCGTCTAGGAATTGGAACGCCGTTGGATAGGGCGGGGCTTGCTGCAACATGATGCAGTACTTTTTGCGCTGGCTTCGGGGTCACGGGTATGGGGAAATTGTCCTGTCTATCTACTTGAGGCTGCGAGGGTGTAATTCTAGTTTTTGCCATTGGCATTGTTGTACTGTCTTCTGGGACTGTGGTCCACCCTCTTTTTCAATACCTCATTACAGTACACACACTTAAATAACGCAGCGTACTCTATCGTACCGGTATCGTACCGGTATGATAATGATACAATCAAAGCTTAGCACAAGTGATGGCAACCCATCCACCAACCCACCCACCCCCCTCAACCCCACTTCATCCCAATCCAATCCCACACAATGCCAAATCGCCCAGATCCGCACGCAGGTCCCTCCCCCTCCCCTCCACCCCAATCACCAAAACTAACAAGCGCACCTCAGGCAATCCCGACCACGCCGCCCTCGAAGCCACCAAAGGCGCCGTTAGTGGCGCAATCCGAGTCCTCCACCCCTTCTCCCTTTACTACCGAGCTACCGTAGCTAACAGCTCTAACAGTGGGGCGCAGTCTCCTTCCTAGCCGGCGTAGCAGCCTACTTCTCCAGCCCTATTTTTCGTAACCTGACTGTGCAGTTCAAAGTCTATCTATGGATGTGTCCAACTGTTGTCGGGAGTATGATTGAGGCTGATAAGTATGTTTTCACCTGTATGGCACCGCACGAGAGTGGACGGGGGGGAGGATGGCTAATGGGGATAGTCGGTTGCGGGGCTACGAGGGTATGATACGTAGGCGCAGGCGCGCTGCCATGGAGGATGCGCGGGAGCGGGCATACGTGAGGGAGATTGAGGAGTTGGAGAGGAGGAGGGGGGGGTGAGGAGTGTATGCTGTATGATGTGACGAGGTATTATAGATTCATAGGGGGGGGGTTGGTATATCATCATTTGGTCGTTCGGGACTTTTGCACGCAGGTTATGAGGGGAAGTGTGATGTGAATCTCGGATCAATATTTTCCCTCCGCCGGGGAATATAAATCCGACATATCGGCCCGGGAGAGAGACACTATTCATTTGTCTATAGTTATAGCTAAACTAGATCAGAGAGCTCGATGGCTCTTTAGAGTGCCGAAACAGGGCGGGCAAGCCCCGGAACCTGGTGCCTCCAAGGTCATTAAAATGTTGTATCATATCGTAACTGAGAAAGGGAAACATCGCCCTCCACAAATTTTCTTCCAGCCAAGGCAGCAATCGCACTCTTTCTTCCCTCCCCTTCCTCCAACGATCTCCAACCCCCGACAGCTTCCATTATCCCCGGTTTGCCTCTGGACCCCAGCGAACAGACATGTCAACCAACTCCAAAACAAGTCAAGCATTTTTTTCAGGCAGGGAAAACAAAAAAAAGAAATGCAACAAAAAAAGCATAGCGCCGCCCTATATTACAAGGGAAATAATACTAAAAAGACGTATATACTACGAAACCTACAGCGCCGGCGAAAATTATACAGTCAAATCGATGTCATTAAAACTATACTTCATGTTTTGGCAGCCTCTTGAAGCCAGCTCCGACTACGGTCTCTCGGCGCGGCCACCACCAAGGTGATGGCTGTTCGGTATAGTTTGTGTTGCGAAGATGGAGTCTCTTATAAATCCAAAACCCGGTAAGGTATAGCGTGATGGCAAGAGAAAAGCCGCAGACGGTCAGGAAGAGCCAATGCTGACCCATCCAGAAGATGGTTTTGGCATCGCTGGAGTGCCATGAGGAACCCTTGTAGACCGCGAAGAAACTCCAAGGATTCTTGTTGTATCTACGATTCATAATTAGCTAGCTATAAACCTGAGCGGTGAGGGGTTGGCTTACTCTTCCGGCATGAGAACTCTGACTCTTCCCTCCTCGGTTGTTCCCCAACGGATGTACTCCTTCCAGATAACGCTGAGAAACAACGGGCCGGTACCATACATCACAGTAATGTAGGGGACATGCCAATTACGATTATAGGTTTGAAGACTCTCGATAACACGCAAGAAAAATGGATGTTGTGGAACAGCCCCCATGGCATCGTTGGAAATACCAGTAGGGATAGTCTTTCGGACCCAAGCGCGGTACGAGAGTAATGGATCTAGTCGCCGGTTGCAGCCCTGGCGAAAATGATTAGCAGCGGTAACGTGACCTCCCATTCATTCAACTCACATCGTCGAGATCGATATAGATCCCGCCGAAATGTGCCAAGACGAAATATCGAATAGCATCGGCGCGCATGATGGGGTAAGGATAGCTATCGTAGGTACCGATGAACCACGGGTACTCCTTAGCTACAAAGTCCCTCGCTTTCTCATTTGTCCAGAGCTACACGATCACCGAATTGATTCAGCCAAGACCCTTTCCTCAACATTTAAAGTTTTACCCCTGACGGGAACAAAAATAACCGCAAACGAACCTTATACTCGTAATCTCCATGCAAGTCCAGACACGACTGTTGAGCCTCCCGCCATTTCTCGGGAACAGTCTCGTTTTGCCAAGTCTGGTGGATAATTTTCGGAATTAGTTGGGGTCGTGAATCGATGAGTTGCGAATTGGGAGCTGGAATATCGACAGAATGAATGGCATCCGCTGAGCAGTCCTCGAACAGCAAAGTAATAAGGGTGAATAGAAAATTCACAAGAAATCCGATAATGATGAGATTGCACACCAGGAACAATATTAAACCTTTGCGCATGGCGACAGTCGAAGTGCCTGTGTAGGACCAAGAAAAGGGGGGAGGAGGGGGAGAGTTGACGAGACCTCCCAGAGGGGAGGGTAGAGGTTATTTGAGGCTGAAAAGAGGCGACAGCGTGTGGACTGTTCAAGTCGAAGAAATGAGGAAAATTAAAAGCTTATAGAGAAAAAGAAGGGGAATGGGATACTGTTAAAGGAGCGGTGGGGGGAAGTAAAGGGAGGGGGGTTGAGAGAGAGTGGATGTGAGAAAATGACGGGAGAGACAGGAAGGGCTGGGAAATTATTATTTCCCACGAGAGCGAGCGAGATGCAGAACGAGAGCGACCAGGGGCGAGCGAGACATGAGTTACAAGGGGTAACTTGGGGAGACACCAATTCTGCAAATACTTGCCAATTCGAAAAGTGTCCGGAAATGGAGTGCCAAGGTCCTCTAATTTAGGGGTAAAACGCCAGTTCTTGGCATTATATGTCCGGACACTTTATGAATTGGCAAGTAGACTATTGGCTGTGTTGCCGGCTGAGGATTTTAGAAAACTTGAGTGGCATTGGTTACGCAGGTTACCTGTAACCTACCCACATAAAATGGGGTGCACGATCAGTTCCAGTAGACTGGCAGTTATTGAAACTTAGACTGATACGGTTTATTGTCACCACTAACAATGCATCACTGTCAGTCCACTGGCATAAGTATTAAATGCGGTGCCACAGATTCCACCCTTTCTAGTTGTGATATTTGATTTGGATCAGGTTCATCATGGTTCCGGTTTCGATTCTCGGGTGACTTTCTTCCCCAAGACAAGAATTGGCCCCGCTGGCTACAGTTTACTGGAGAGCTAGCATAGACAATCTGCACCATCAATGAGAGTGCAATTTTCGTTCAGTGTTTCCCCGGAGCTTGCACCCTCTCTCTTTCTTTCCGGTCCTACTCGAGCATGATGCCATATCCTCACCGTGCTTGTAGGGCGTGAATCGCCGGATGCTTCATATTACATTGTTACTGGTTGGTTCATGGTGCAAGGCCCCTTTTTTTTCCTCGAGTGATGGGGTGTTGGTGGGATACAAGTATGATAGTCTACGAGTACCGGTACTCGTACACGAAGGCCGCGCGCCCGCCCATCAACCCTCCATTTTGCTTTGCTAAAAAAGGATTGGCAGTGTCTAACTCTAAACGACTCAGGTTTACCGAACAATGCCCCCCTTGCTCGAGTACCCTACTTTCCCTCTTTTCCTCCTGATCGAGGCTTTGCCGGAGACGTCCTCCCCCGCAGTGACCGACCCCGCTGCTCCGGACGGAGGCAGCTCCGTCGCCCCCGGTTGCTGGCTGCTGGCTGCTGGTTTGCATCTCAACCCTGCGCGTGAGTTTATCGCGTCCCGCTACACCACTTTGGTTTCATGTTCTTGCCTCTCTCGCTGGACGAGAGGACAATTTGGAAAAGCCGTCAAGCGCCTCCTCCCTTGGTCCCTGCAGAGCCAAACATATCTCTTTTCTGCCCGAGTATATCGCTTTCCACAAAAACTACTGCATCAAACTTCATACACCCCTTTCCTATCACCCATGATTCAGGTATCGCACGACAAAGAATCGCTTGAGAAGCCTGTCAAGTGGAGATATACTCGAGCGCTTGAAGCGAGAAGGTCCACAACCACCAACCATATGCTCCACCATCTAGGACAAACCTATCATCGGTTTACCCTTGAATTGTGTAGTAATACGACAGGCCGGGAACGTGTTCCGGAGTTCAAAGGGCGGATGCAAGAGGAGAACACCCGCCGTCCCGGAGAGCGGATAAGCGAGCATTTTTTGTGTTTCTCCACTACCGCAAGAGCACAAACGGTAACTTAGGGGTACTGTACGAATACTGGTACCTGTACGTACTCAAGGATCTGGCCCCAAGGTTAGAAGGGGGGGTGTCGGCTGCTTATGCAGCTATCGCCGGATTCTATTTCAAGTAAATCTGGTGTCGTACCGCATTTTCTCTCGGGAAGAGCCTTTTCTCCTACAGGCTCCTACCTTCTACCAGCAATTGCATGTTAAGAAAAGAAAAGAAAGCACAAAACAATCGACCTGCTTTTCTATCCACAAGGCTAAATTGCATTGTATGAGACAATTACTGTGGTTCATTTATTGGGTTTAATGCGAAGTTCGTTCTGTCGCCTAGAATGCCGTCGTTGTTGACTACTGGGGGATTGGCGGTGCGGGACAATTTTTCCGACCGTCCTGATTCCCATGTCTGGGACGGAACATTCGCCCCTTCCTTAACACCCAACGCGCGTGGAAGGCTGCCACTCAGCGATCTGCATGCCTCAGCCTTCTCAAGTTTCATATCATACTCGAATAGTTTCTTGCTGGGCGATCAGGTTTCCGGGATCATATAAGCACAATCCGAATCATACTCGAGTACTCCAGGAGACTAAAAACGACAAACAGTAGGTCGGCCAGTCTTGCATCTCAGCCCAACCTGTCAGCTCTTCCCAAAGCCCAAGTAGACCGTGAGCAGGGTAGCTCGCAGGACTATCGGCACCGATTAGGCCGAAGTCTGCATTACCGGTACTTGTTCATACAATACTCGAGTACCCGGGTAGAGGAACAGGCTCTGACCGCCTTGAGAGGCTGTATCAGCTTGGTGACGTTGACAGCTACCGGTGGGCGGTGCCAACCCTGCGGAATCACCGTGATGCAGCACATAAACTCCAAGCGAAGCTATTTTAACACCCAGCTCCTAAACCCTCCACCAGTGGAGCATAATGATTATGATTATGGTATGATAATATTATTATGATACGGTATCAACTCCCGTAATATCATAGATAACCCTGAGAACCATCTACCGTTGTGTCTAGGGTATAGGGTGAGGGTTCACTTCCTTCCTCTTGGATCAGTCATTGGTGGGTAATCACTCATGCAGTATCACTCGGCTAATCAATGCAACCTTGAGTCTGTGATTTTAGCAACATGCTCTTCGAGATCCATGTATTTGACGTTAATGGGGGAAATGATATGTTGGTGACCGCATCTACTGGAGATTCCACTCTCTAAACCTTTATAAAGCAGGATCAGGAGCCGCGTATACACGGTTACAATTCGGCATATGAGCACAAGCGACTTTCAACATATCCCATTTCCTTCCCCAACCCTCTCGCACCTTACCACCCTTCACTAATCACAACATGTAAGACCACGAGACCATGACTTCGAATTGAGGGGGCTTCTGATAAGGAGACCTTCCGGGGACGGTCTCCTGTGACCACCCCTTGCCAACATGCTCAGCAGATACGCTTGCCCGCTCGCCTAACCAGAGGCAACTCTAGCACTGCCGTTTGGCTCACGGCCGTGGGATTGTTTCCTACCTCTTTGTTTTCCGAGTTGACTAAAATTGAAGTTCAAAATTACCGGCACCCCCGACGAGTGTCTAGCGCGGAAAAATGGTTCTATCATCTCGATAGCTTTTCCAAATGAAATACAGAAATGTTACCACATGGGGTAAGGACTCCTATGGCAGTAACGCCCATCGCCAAACTATTGGGATTTATTGATCGTCTCCTCGATCAGAGGCATCAGGCTGATTCGCGATTTTGGACGTCCCCCAACATAGCACCATCGAAGCTGCTAAACCGCCAGGCCCAAAAGAGGCGCTGCCCCGGAACTTTATTGCTCCTTACAGCTGTCCTTTGGCCAACATCTTTGTTTCCTTTGAGCTTGAGTTTTGTGTGTGTTGTTAGATACATTAGAGTTCTTAATATTGTTCCCCAGAACAATACCAACGATACCGAGGGACTAACCATAAATGTGAAAACCCGTTAGGTATCAGCTACGACGCTAGCGCTACGACTGCCGAAAAGGTCATGGTGCTTAGGAAAGCGAGTATGCGTGGCTTTGTGACGTCTCTTGTGAAACTATGAGAACGGGATTTTGGGATACCCATGGTATTCCCCAAAAGGACCTTGGTCGAGAGCTTTTGTTAGTTGGATAGTTTCTTGTATCATTAGAATATCACAGGCTGTGCTTCGCTCAATGACCCAGACCGCCTCTCCCATGATCAACAGGCCCATATGCACTAGCTGCCTTGATTGCAATGCCCACCATTTCCAAGGCATCGCCCTTAAAAAGGCTGCAAGATCTCCCTCCACTGAATGCCCACCCATACTTGCTGCACCCACCGCACTGGTATCACCAAAGTAGCCGGCAATTATGGTGTCATTCTTCAAAGCCTTCCTCCTCTTCATCTTCGCGGCCTGTACAGCATACTCTTTCCCGGGATATCCGGATTCTCTGGCGAAGAGAGGGGCAGGTCTTCACAGGAGGGACCCTGATTGGGGAAATTACGTCTACATCGCCTCCATCTTCTCCGGGATAGTCGGCCAGAATATTGGGTTAATTGCACTTCCCGGGGTAAGTCAATGTCCCGGAAAAATCGAAGAATTTAGCTAATTAGACGACCCATACAGAATCGTGCTGTATGCCCAGGCCAGCTCTGGGACTTGCAGACCTGCGCAGACTCCTTCGAATCGGAATGCATGGAAGAGCGTTTCGTCTTCCAGTGGTGCTTGAGTCATAGGTGAGCGGACAACCTGTTTAGCCGGACATGACCAGCCTAATGCCGCTCGCTCGTAGGATCACCCCCGAAACATGCGGCGCCGAATGGCTCAATATGACAGTTGGATGCATGGGCGAGAGCTCGGCTTACTGTGTGGAGACTCTGGTGACCCTCTATGACTGTGCTATTCAAGTCGAGGTCCCCGAAGTTCCACCCCCCTAAATACTCGTGTTAGTGAGAAAGAAAGTAAAAGAGGAAGATACAGGAGTAAAGCTAGCGGAGAAACAAAAAAAAAACCAAGGAGAGGGACTCACGATCACACTGCACTGTGGGAATGTGTTCCTTACCTTTATGTGCCTTGATAAAAGCATGTATCTTTCCCACGATTGAGGGAATTTTTTTCTTTTCCTTTTTTCCCTCCTTTACTGCAGTATTCAGTGCGCACGGATCCTCCTCCATTTCATAATTTCCTTAGTATAATAGGCCACATGTTTGATGTGGAACATTCTGTATCAGTTTAATCCAGCTCCCTGATGTCTACTATGAGGTGCTATGTGAATTTGTGATGATAATGTGACTACTGTTGTATTAGACGAGAAAGACAGACCACATACTGTACATTTCATACCAAAAGTAATGGCTAAGCAGAATATATCATAGAATATCACTCGCATTTTTCTGCCAAGGATGTCGAAAACACGTGGACGATCACGCACCAGAGGACGCTAGTGCTGAAAAGTTTTCCTTACATTTTGCTTTCTTTCCTTTCCCTTCCTTTCCTTCCTCCTTTCATTTGCTTGCTCCATTGACCCACCACTCAACCCACACTCGCTCGTTTTCCCAATCGAACTCTTCTACTCACCTTGATTCCTGTTTCCTTTCATCTAACTCTGGTCTGGTTTGAATCTACACTTTGTGTATCATACTTCTTATATATTCAACTCTTCTCTTGTCTCCAATCCGCCTTACTCCGTAAAACCGCCGTTCCGATCATTACCATTTCACACGCCTTTCAACAAAGGAGGCCGAGTGACCCCGACCGACGCCACGCCAAACCCCTCAGGATCAGATAACAAAAGGCCTACCCCACCATTCATCACTACCACCACGACCGCCGCCGCCACTCCCAATTACACTTCACAAACCTGCCAGAATGTCGACAAGATCGTGCTACCACTCCCGCCAGACAAACGAGACCAAAATCCAGCTCACCCTCTCACTAGATGGCGGCAGCCTCTCTTCCCTTTTGCCAGAGGATCCTGACTTGACAAGCTCCCACGCAACCCAAGCCTCTAATTCCCAATCCATTTCCGTACGCTCAGGCATCGGCTTCCTCGACCACATGCTGCACGCCTTGGCGAAGCACTCTGGGTGGTCCCTATCCCTGACTTGCCTTGGGGACTTGCACAGTGCCCCTCCCCCCTTTGCTCCGTACTCCAATCCCATACATCGCTAACTAGATTATACAGTCGACGACCACCACACAGCGGAAGACTGCGCGATAGCCCTTGGCAGCGCATTTAAGCAAGCCCTCGGCCCGATCCGCGGGTACAAACGTTTTGGCACGGGCTTCGCCCCACTAGACGAGGCGCTCTCGCGCGCCGTCGTTGACCTCAGCGGCCGGCCGTTCGCCGTCGTCGATCTGGGATTGAAGAGGGAGAAGATCGGAGATTTGAGCACCGAGATGATTCCCCACGTCATTACAAGCTTCGCCGGCGCGGCTGGGATCACTGTGCATGTGGATTGTCTTCGCGGCCTTAATGACCATCATAGGGCCGAGAGCGCGTTTAAGGCTCTTGCTATCGCTGTTAGGGAGGCGACGAGTAGGACGGGCGGGGATGAGGTGCCTAGTAGGTTTCCCCCAGATTGAGGGTAGTGACTTTCGTGGCTAATTGTTTGGTAGGCACGAAGGGGGTGCTATAAGTAGTCCTAGCGGGAAAGGCCCGATATCATACCGGACTTTGCGATGCTTTTTCTCTCTTCTTTGTTTTTACCTTTTTCTGGACAACTAATGCAATCGGCTGCTCCAGCGCCAATTTCTCAATGTGCCCAGTGTAAGAGACCTGTCTCCTATGCATAACCCTCTTTTCTCTCTCCCTCCCCCACCTGCACGACCAGTGGATCACACCCAGGCATCCATATCAGATACGCCAGCTCGTTCTAAAATCCACAGTCCCCCCTCACTCCAGACCCGTTACGATATATCTAGAAACCCCATCGTCCAATAGCCATTATTGTGGAAGGGGGTGAAAACTCTAAAATCAATAACCCATCCCACCTCCTTACTAAGTTAACTCACCACTGCACGCTCGAGATGTGAAATGAAATTTGGGAGCGGAAGCGCTAGAGGCCCAGCGACATTCCTCAAGTGATCGTTGCAATCTCAATTTCATTAGAATATGACCCAAATTATAATGAATTGATATTTGCAATCTCCTCCTCCTCCTTTTTATCTCCCGCAATAGAGATAAAACTGAATCGCCTTAAAAAAGGGAAAAGATAAAAAAACAAAACAAAACAAAACAAAAAACGTTCCAGTCTTGGGCATGTAGAGAGAGAGAGAGAGTATGTAATAGGCTTTTCTCTTTTCTTTCTCTTTCTCTTTTCTTTTTTTCTTTTCTTTTTTGAAGGGGGGGGTTATTGACTACCAAGATATCTCTAGAGTTCAGTTTGCTGTACAGTACAAGACATGGGCATAATGCCATTGGAAAGTGACCAGTTTTCCTCATCATCAACTGGAATTTTCGCAGGCCGGTGCTCACGAGAGTCTCCGCAAGGGTTATGGAGTAAGGCCAGTATGATACATCATAACCACAACTTAAGCCATGGCGGGTTCGGGGGGGAGGGGAGCGTGTAGGCACGAAACGTGATATCATACCACCACTACACACGAGCCCAGAATTGAGCGCTGAATAACGCAGTACAGAGCCCGTTTTTATGAAACCCGGGGGAGGGGGCGTACGCAGAGCAGAATGGAGGGGGACTGGCTCTTTACACAAGCATCAATCACAATAACTTATGATACCAGTTATAGCGTCGCTATGTCTATTAAATAAAGCATCCCAGTATCATACAGAGCTTAGTATGATGACCCGACATTGAACAAGCCCTACATCCACACACATATCATACCCAATACAAAAGCAAAAGCCTAATAAATACCCCATTGGGGATCGTGTGGGTACAGTGTCGGCCATATCGTCACTAAAAAAAAAAATCAAGATTGCATGCTCCTGTTTATGAGTGCTGCGGTACTGGTATTCTCGTACCCCAGAGGTGGATTTGGCTGGCTCGGTGCATGGGGCGCCAGGCTGGAAGACGGCTTCTGTGGAGAGATTGGTGGGAATGGCTGAAGTTTTCTTTTTTCTTTTTTCTTTCTCTTCCTCCCCACATTGGCGGTTTATGTACTTGAGTATCATACCCTCGTCCTTGACAGCTCACCGCAGGAGAACAAATGGTGTTGAGGTAAATAGGGTATGATATATTCACATAGGTATTTACAAGTAGTCACGTGCCTTATCTGGGTGTGCTGCGACGGAAAGGTTCGCTAAATTATCTTGTCTTATCTTATCGGAAACACGTGACTAGTTTATCTATCGGCCGCACTAGTATCATACTCATGATACCGGTACAGTACTCGAGTACGGTACGGTATGGTAGCTAGGCTGGACTACCGTATCTATCAAAGTATCATAGAATTGGAAAAAAAGGAAAAGTGTGCGGCTTTCATGCTGTACAAGTAGGGAGAGGGTCAGAGGTTTTGTTGATAGAGATTAACTCGAAGTATTATGAGCGATGGGGAAACTTAGTCTATCGGTGGCAAATGGAACGGTCCATGGTTGCTATCATAAATCCCGTACCATACGACCCGTGTGCCGAACCAGCCAAATTCCACCCATAACTTAGAGGGCAATCAGGCCAGTAGGAACAAAAAGCGAAAAAGAAAAAAAAACCGGCCTTCAGCACTGATGAAAATTCGAACAAAACGAACGAACAAGGAAACTTCAGATTTCCACTTGTACTGTACTCGAGTACGGGAAGGTATTGTACTGGCGGGAAAAAGATCAGCAAGATTCTATAAGGCAGCGAGCAGACGGTCAGTCTGGATGGAAAATAATGGGCTCTGGTAGACACGAACTTGGAGTGGATACCAAACACACACCACCTCACCAATGACAAGGTATCCCAAGCTAATAGCTAGCAATTGCCCACAGTGCGAACTGGCTCTGTGGAGATTACCCAAAACTCCCTAGAGCCCTTCGGAATCTCTAGAATTCGGGTTTTGTAGGGAAAGCAGGCACCAATGCGACTGGTCTGGGTTTCTAATCTCTACAACCCTGTGTTTCTTTCTGCGGAGCCCATCCATCGACCGACGGTATCACTACTTGTACTTTGCCACCACCACAAGTTTTCCGATTCTTTCATCCACGCCCAAGTTCCCGAGCATAGGCTCCGCGCGATCAACAAACGAGACTCCCCCACAGGCGTTGAAATTGATAAAGGAAATGTGTGAATGGGCGGAGGTTTCCGTATGCCGGTGATACACCGCACCTCGTATAATTTGTATGCCCGCCGTTCGCGTAGCAATGGCAGTACACAGCGCCAGTACTTTGGGTGTTTACGTACAGAGGTGTAGCGATGGCTATGATAGCGTTCGTCCGAAGTCCTCGTTCGGAGGGCAGCGGGCGGTTGCAGTCTGGTCCGCCCGTCCGGCATGGCACTCTGCTGCGTTGCAGCAACTCATCGGAATCCCCCGCTCGCTCTCGGCGAGTTTCTCTGCGAGTTGGGGTTGGAGGAAGGGGAGGGGAGCTTGCGGATTCAACCTGCCGGCGTCCGCCTCCCGCCATTCTACCAAACGAGAAGGTGGGATGCCGTGCGGTTTTTCATGAGGATTTGGTTTTTTTTATTTTAAATCCGCGGTTTATTCGTAGCTAGCTACAGGAAAATCAATGGCATGGACCCTAAGGTATGGCCTGAAAACCTAAGTAACAAAAGAAACGTCATCCCCCTTCCCAAAAAAAAACAAGTTAACGGTAAATACCACATCCACTCCTGTCATATAATTGAAAACAATAATATTATAGTTCATGAAACCAATCCAAGTTGGCATCTTCTGTCTTTTTAGGAAATCCCCCAGCTAAAATCCTATTCTTATTATCATTTCTCTTCCATAACCTCAGACTGAAAGTGGAAGAACCCCCCAGTCTGGAGCAATGAAAGAGGATAAAGTAGATAGCAGTAGGATGCCAGCCATAGTGTTCTTTATTCCAGAGGATACCATTCCAGCACACTTATGAAGCTCCAAGTTTAATGGCCAGGCAGTATTATGAGATGTATTTGTAGTGTTGAACCCCACTTCTCACCTTCCTATTTAGGAAGGTGAAAGGCAGGGTGTGGAAAATCAGTGAGATGGAGCTTGGCAGTTTGTCATGAGGAACTTGTGGAGATATTGTATGATAGGATGCGAAGCGTATTAGGGAGGTTCTGCTATTTTTCTTAAGTCATAGTTTAGTTTTTATTTTTGTGGATGGCATGAGTGAATATATGTAACGATCCCTCTCTGGATAGTTAGTGCTTGGCGACGGGGAACGATACTTCTCTTTCTGTCTTCTTCTTCCTTTGTCTTACGATAGCTCTAGGCCTCTGCCTACGTTACCGATAGTACAAGACCCTTGTCTTCTACCGGGAACGCCTATTGTAAGCTTTCTCTAACTCTGCTTCGTAAAGGGCCTTCCTTGGCGTAACGATAACGTTGCAATAAAGATAAAGATCGTAAAGGTGTTTTATATTTGTTAAAGTAATATGTAGGAAAAGTACTTAGAAGTCAATCTAATTTTATTTAAACTCGTACCGCCAACACTGGCATATGACGAGCCCCCACCGGCACAGGGATACTGCTAACTGGTATACCACTAATCCTAGGCTAACTAAGTCTACGGTCCCGCACCTGCCATCCCCGAGTCATGCCCACATAGAAACTAATTACAAGACCATCAAACAACCCAGCGCCCTCCCCGGTCCAAGTCCGTAGCCCCTCTGGTATGAAGCCAACCAGCACCAAGCATAGCTGAAGCCGAGCAAGAGACCGACCCAACCAGGTTCCTCGTCCAACAAAATCAAAACCACTACCACTTGGTCTAAATACCGTCCTGCAACACCTCTACCACAGTAGAAAACCAACAACAAACCAAACCAAGTATAAACTACAGGCGACACAATGGCAGAGAGGAGGTGACCAACATGTCCACCTCTCGTATCCGCATGCCAGGCCGTCGACCCTATAAACCCACTTTGCCAAGTGCCTCCGAGGAGCGTAATGGTGAGGAGGACCTGTACCCGCTGCCTGTCCCCCAAAACAAACTCATAAACAAAAGAAATACATAGAGGTGGTAACAGACCGAAATTGTCAGTGGGGCCTATCACCCACCCGTGGTGCCTTGCCCCTGCCAGCCATGCCTATTGCCAAACCAAAGAAACCAAACAAACTTCCACAACACACAGCACGCAGAATCCAAACAAGTCCAACCAGGTGGTCACAACCCACTATCCGCACAGGTGGCCATCAGCCCAGCGGTCCGCTGGAGAGCTTTACAGCACTCAGCAGCTTCGCCCAGCAGCCCAAACTGGTCCGGAAACACTTAATTAGACATCGTCCAACCTGACGCATGTCCGACCAGTGCTCGCAGGTGCCTCTTCCCCCCCAATCAGCCCCCCCCAAGCCCCACACACCAGAGGCCACAGAGCCCATCCAGCCCTCCCAGCCCCTCAGACAGAACAACCATCCGATGGCCACAGGACAGCTTATACCCAGCCCCGCCAGGCAGCCATTGATCTTGGCCACATGAACAGAGCCCCAACCCCCAGCACCGTATAGCTGAGGGGAGCCCATCAGCCACAGCCGGGAGCCACAAAGGAGGCAGCACCAATACCCGAAGGCACGGGCACCAGCTACACCATCCAACCCAGCCGAACTGAAATCCAACTGAGTCGGGAAAGAGTAAGCAGAGCCAGCCAAAGCAAGCCCCACAGGTCCGGCAACAGGCACAGACCAAACAACGGGTAACAGGCATCCCCAACTGACGCGACAAGAAGGGGGAGGGCAAACAAACAGAAGAAGACAAACAGGAGGTAGGCCCCACTGGCAAATGGGTGAAGCCGCCAACCACAGACCACAACCGAACCACCCGGATGCACAGACAACGCGAGTGTCTGGCAGCCAATCGTCCCACAGCACCCCAGGTAGCAACAACCACCACACCAGGGGGTAAGATTTGTCAGGGTCAAAGCTATCCACACGGGTGCGAGGAGGAGAGGCCTGACTGAATTGCCGTTAATGCCGCAAGGACAGAAACTCCAAGGGAACGGCGATAAACAACATCGTAGGATCCTGACCGTAGAAACATGTAGTAACGAGGAGGGGGGGGGCCGGTACGATGTATTGATACTTGGGAAGGTCATCAGTCTAACCCAAGGGCGTTTTGTATCGCGAGAACTAAGGACTCCATTAAAACCCAACAAAAGACATGAGCTAGCCCAAAGAATGACACGGGTGATCTCCCCAAACACAATGTTCAATCCCCCCAATCGAAAGCGAAACCTGGGAGTAGACGATAGACAGGAAGCCGTAGACATTTTACCGAAAGGGGCGCGTATGCGACCTTGATGAGTGCTTGAAGTGCTGGTATCGTGAGATAACCAGTCCAACGAAATGAGACGCAAACAAGTTATCCGCCACGCAACGCCTAACAGACCTCAATACCAAAGACCCCAGGAACTACTGAGTGAACTCAAATATCTCCCCCAGAATCAAAGGCATCAAGGCCCACCATGATGGTGAAAGAAACGCTCGGGGCGAAGCGACGGCAAGGACGAGGAAAAGTACTTAGAACAAAGCGTGAAGAACCTATCTTCCTCGGCTGTAGCGGCCTCCTTATATAGTGTTCTTCCCGCCTTTAGTCATGTGACCTAAAGTGGTCACATGTGCAAAACTAAATCATAACAAACTAGTCATATGACTAAAGTGATCACATGCTCAAAACCCAGGATCTCATAGCGAGGTCATGTGCAAAACTCATAAACCAATCATAACGCAATAAACAAGTCATATGACTCAACTGAGTCATATGCATGAAAACCATGACATCATAATGAGGTCATGTGCGAAACATAAATCATATGCGCAAGGCTTACCCATAAGGCACACTCGTAAGGCATACTCATCAGGCGCATATTCCATGACTCATACTTGAGCTATGTGCGAAAGCATTACAAATCCCACACATAAAAAATCATATAACCCGAATAGGTCATATGCGTGAAACAATAACATACCTGTGACTCATAACCATGTGTCACGTGAAAACCCTTTCCTCGCTAAGCCACGTTCATGACATTAGCTCCCCTCCTCCTAAGCCTGAGTCCCATCAGACTTTTTCTCCCAGTTTCAATAGTTCCCATCCTGCCGAGCGCATGGTCCTTCTCAGCTTGTAGAACTTTTCGTCTGCCGTTCTCCATCTGACTCTTACCGATTCCAGAGTCAGATTCGCCATCTCAATCGTGTGCCGCTGTAACAATCCCTCTCTGGATAGTTAGTGCTTGGCGACGGGGAACGATACTTCTCTTCCTGTCTTCTTCTTCCTTTGTCTTACAATAGCTTTAAGCCTCTGCTTACGTTACTGATAGCACAAGACCCTTGTCTTCTACCAGGAACGCCTATCGTAAGCATTCTCTGACTCTTCTTCGTAAAGCACCTTCCTTAGCGTAACGATAACGTTGCAATAAAGATAAAGATCGTAAAGGTGTTTTTTATTCGTTAAAGTAATAAGTAGGAAAAGTACTTAGAACAAAGCTTGAAGAACCTATCTTCCTCTGCCGCATCGGCCTCCTTATATAGTGTTCTTCCCGCCTTTAGTCATGTGACCTAAAGTGGTCACATGTGTGAAACTAAATCATAACAAACTAGTCATATGACCAAAGTGATCACATGCTCAAAACCCATGACCTCATAGCGAGGTCATGTGCAAAACTCATAAACGAATCATAACGCAATAAACAAGTCATATGACTCAACTGAGTCATATGCACGAAACTCATGACATCATAATGAGGTCATGTACGAAACATAAATCATATGCGCAAGGCTTACCCGTAAGGCACACTTGTAAGGCATACTCGTCAGGCGCATGTCCCATGACTCATACTTGAGCCATGTGCGAAAGCATCACAAATCCCACACATAACAAATCATATAACCTGAATAGGTCATATGCGTGAAACAATAACATACCTGTGACTCATAACCGTGTGTCACGTGAAAACCCTTTCCTCGCTAAGCCATGTTCGTGACATTAGCTCCCCTCCTCCTAAGCCTGAGTCCCATCAGGCTTTTTCTCCCAGTTTCAATAGTTCCCATCCTGCCGAGCGCATGGTCCTTCTCAGCTTGTGGAACTTTTCGTCGGCCGTCCTCCATCTGACCCTCACCGATTTGAGAGTCAGGTTCACCATTTCGATTGTGTGCCGCTGATTGTCGTTCAGCTGTCTAAGCTCCGCGATCGTTTTGTCGTTTGCCGAAATTGTGGCCTCGGCTTGGCTCAGTTGTTCTCGGAGTCTCCGGATCTGCCTGTGTAGGCTCCTGACATCTGGTTCCATGTCTGCCGAGGAATTTTAGGCCCCTCCCTCCTTGGACCGTGTCCTCGCGGTCCATGCTTTTCTGGCATCTTCTCCTTCCAGCTCTTTTTGGCTTCCATCCTTCTGCGGGTAGAATCCCGCAGATATTTTTTGTGCCCTGTGCATCCTGCACCCATTTCTGAAGCATTGTTGCCAATGCTTCAGGACGTGGTTTGGGCGTGGGCCACGCTTTCGACATT